GTGCATCAAAAATTTGTCTTTGAGCAAAATCAGGCTCTGACCTGGCTGAAGAGATGCCAGCCAGTGCGTCTGAGCTCCAGGCCAGTTCTGCAGACCCTGACCTTTTTGCACTGAAAATCAGAAACTGAGGGTGACTGGCATTGCTTAAAATAAGATGACAGACGTCTCAAATGAAGGCGGTAGGAATCAGTGACTGTATTTGAACACCAGCCTTAATTTTTGGCCAAGTCTCTGCCGGTGTTCAAAAACCTCCCCCCTGAGTGTTTAAAGCAAAAAATAAAAAACATTTTGGTGAAGATGAAGGGCAGAAAGTCTTCAGAAAAGGGAAACATCTTCAAGTGAGAAATTCCCCTTCACCTTTCAAACATTATCTCATACTTACAAGTCTTTTGAGCTAGCAGCTAAAAGGGTGGTTTTTAAAAGAAATATTGCCTGCTGGGCTAGATCAGGTTGCTAGGAAAGGTGTAAGCAATTTTAGTAATAGTCTACGCCTTCACAAATTACTGGTGCTAAGTGCGGAGCAGAGGAGGGATGGGTGGCTACAAAATGCTCAGCCCCATCCTCCCACTCTCATTCCTCTGCTTTCGTTTTGTTCCAGAAAAGTACGTTACCTGTCTCCCTTGGAAACTGTCCCTGTGGCAACTTATAGGACTATCTTGATGCAGACAGGCTACTTTGACACTTCTTTTTGTGACTCTTCTTATGGTAACATCCTGAGATTGTCAGAAAGATGATGTGAGATCACCTGTATCCAAGATACCATTTGGATGATTTTCTACTGAGAACTTGTTTTTGCAGTGTTTCACTCTTCTAGCTCTTGAACTCTCAGTCTGTATATCACGACTGCAATTTTATCTGAAACGTGTTGCAAAATCTATATATTTGCCTTTATCAGCAAAAATCCGTAACCTCAAATGAGATGTTTTTGACAAGACCTACTTTCCATAAAGCCACGCTGCCAAGTATCACATGCTGCTTCTGTGGTTCTTTCTGAACTGAATCCCTCATTGGCTTTTCCCTTGTTTTGTTCAGATGCTAACAAAGTTTACTTGTACCTACACCACCAACATGATGAATTTCTAGCTACTCTCTTTATACGCACTGTTACTTGGATTAACACTGTTATCATTTTTTTCCACTCTGTTGTGAGTGAATATGCTACATCTAAGCATGTCATAAATTTACCAATTAAAAATACGCTGTGCACTGCTGGCTTTGGATGATAAGAGGGAGTGTATGTGTACGCAGGATGACAATCTTGAGCTCCATGAATTGCAGTCAGGACTTCTGATTTCAAAAGCATAAAACTCCTCCCCAAGGGCAGTCACCAGCCACAGCCAACAGCTCTGGGCTACGTCCTAAACATCTATAGGGTCCAGAAACGTTGAGACCTTTTGGAGTGATGCTCACAATGAAATCTGTCACAGCTGGGCTTCCGTTGCACACAAAGATGTGATAGCACAAGGCACACAAGGGTGTTCTTTGTTTTAATCCCTACTGAACAGAGCCACACGACTAACATTTCACAGGAAAAAAAGGTTAAAAAAGAAACTGTGGTCTGTGACACCAAGATATACCTAAAACTTCTTTCATTAAATATCACGGCCCGTATTGAGGTAATTTTCTCTGATCTAGATTTTAAAGCTCACAAGCTTCCAGAATTGCTTATTCCTTACCAAGAACAAGAGACAGCTTGGAACCTTGCTCTCACTGCGGGAGAATTCATGTGTGGATGAATGTAGACACAAATTAATTCGCACATTTGCATGTATGCTCTTCGAGAAAGTGCAGGGGCACTTTGCTCAGATGTGCCCTCCCAGTAGGTCCCAGAGGCTCTCGTTGTCTTTGGGAAGACTGGGAAAAGAAGGAAACGCTGTCTGTACTGCCAAAACCAAGAAGATATAAAGAAATCATGGAAATTATGGCTTGGGGCTATCTGTAAATCCTACAAGTTATAGTTATAACTGAGAGTTTCTCTCACTTGTGAATCAGAAATTACGAACCTCTTGCTTTGGAGTTCCTTTCTTGAAGGTGAGAGGCCAGCATTAAACTCGAACCCAGTACTTACCCAGCTGATCCACTACATAGATCCAACTAATACAACAGACAAAAAAGAAGTCCTATCATTTTTCAGTCACAGCAGAAAGCATTTCATTATCAGTTTCTGCTCCTTTTGTCCCAACTGTCCATCAACATTAAGGAAGACAGAAAGAGTATGCCACTGTGCCGGGAATGATTAGACTTCAGAACAACCAAACTAAAGACAATTACTTTCTTTTTTACGTGTGACTGGGAATAGCTCTGCACAGTCATGGCAATGGAAACTTTAAAATATTTTCTGTATTTTCAATGGAGTTTAAAAAATATTCCTTCTGTTTTGTTCCATTTTTTCTGTGCTTGTCTTCCTGTTAATGTTTATGCCAAGAACCATTGTGAAACCCCTCTGATATCATCAATCCATAAATATGGTTTATCATTTCTAGATATATAATGCATGCAAGCTTCAGGTTCATAATTAGGCAGGAAAAATGTCAGACCCGTAAAAAGCAAAACACAGCCCGTTATGTGCTGGGTGGCAGAATCAAACGGAGGCGGTGGGAGGCTGTGAGCTGCCTGAAGATCTGAGTCCTGGCTGTAGTCAGGAACGACAGATGGTGTTTGTCAAGAGGATAGAGCCTTACCTTCTTATTTTATCATGGAAATATCACAGTAAGAAAACTATCAACATTCACTATTTTATCTAACAGATTTAAGAAATACATCCCACAGTAAAA